GAACTTTTTTTATTTTTTTAGTGACTTTTTAACTTTTGTAGGTGATGCCAAACCAACCCTTAAGGCATGCTCACTCACCTAGAAGGTACAATAACAAGGTGTCAAGCTTGTACCAAAAAGAAAGTAAGTCAGGAAAGACGAGGGGACAAATAAAATGCTAGAAAGATGGTATAAGGGTTAGACCAAATACAATATGAAGATAATAAGAGTGAAATATCGTCTAATTCGTTAAAACGGCATTGATTCGTATCATTCTGTATCGATCTATTTGCTAATTGTAGATTAAATTTTGAAATTTATAATCTATCTTCGAAACCACTTCGCTATAATTAATTCATTTATTTTTTTTAATTCAAAAAATATATTCAAGTTGAAAACTCTTTTTCAATAGAACATATTCAACAGAATATATAGTCTCTTTTTCAATTAAAAAAACAAACAGAATATCTAAATAAATTGAAAACATAAAGTCTTACAAATTATTAGGGGTGCTCGCGGTTTGACGGTTCGGTTAAGACCAAAAGAATCTCAAATCCGCCATCCGTTCAAAACTAAGTAGATTGAAAAAAATCAATCCGTAACATTCCGCTCATCATCATGCATCCATCCAAAATGCAATAGATCGGTTCAGTTCGGTCATTTTGGACGAATTGGAATATCCGATGCTCACCCCTACTTATATATATGTAAGTGAGCATGTGGATCGTCAAGTTTAAAGATACTTTGGGAGTCCACCTTTTTTGAGAAGCCTATGTGAAGTGCATCCGTGATGGGGTGTTACTTGGTCTCAAGCGGAGCCTAGCTTGTCAACCTTTTTTATTTTTTGGTCGTTGTTATTCGTGAACTTTTTTTTTTGTGTAATGATATTGTGTAAAACGAGTTGAAGTTTGTTGAAAATATATTTAAGTATGAAGATTGAATTTAAATTATTTGTGAGATTTGTAATGTAAGCACTACTCAATGGAATTATTCTTATTTTGTTATAGCTTCCGTTAAACCCCATTTATAATTATACAATTTGATTTTGTTATAGAGGCCAAAGGTAATCAAGGATTACTGGCCGGTCATGACTTAAATCTTTAGGGGCAGGTTCAGGTCGTGATAGTTATATTAGAATGTTATGTTTGAGAAAAGGACACTATGAAATTTTTGTGTGTTACATTAGAGTGTTCCAATAAGGAATTTTTTTGGAGTGTTATATTATAGTGTTACGTTTCGGGAAAGTACACTAAGGATTTTTTTTTTTTTTGGAGTGTTACGTTTGAGTGCCACATTGGAGTGTTACAGTTTGAAATTATACATATGTTCAAAACTTACTAAAAAATTTTTGTACTGCTTTTGAAATATTTGAAAAATCCCACATCCTTTTGGAATATTTAAAGAATCTCATATTTCAATTCATTTTTATACTCTTTTTGAAATGTTTTCCAAATAAAAAAAATTTTCATATAAAAATTCATTTCAAATTTGATTCTCTAATGTACCTTACCTTTCTAGCATAAAAGAAAAAAAAATGAAGGAAACATAATACAAATAAGGATATAACCGTAAATCTAATTTTTAAATAATTTAATACATATATCTTTTCATCATCAATAGGATTAATTGGTCTATATAAACGAATCACCATTTCTTAATATGAAATTTATAGACAAATTTTTCATTAATCAACGCACGCAAAATTGGCCCACCCAATGCTTATATAGCATAGCCACTTGGTGAAACAGAAGATATTGGTACATTTGGAAAGATGAACTTGGCCATGAAGCAAAGATCAACTATAGTTTTGGATAAGCTTAGGGGTGGAAGAAACCTCCTATTACAGAGGTGATTTTTTAATTTTTTTATGAAGAAAAATGTAGAAAAATAAAAAAAGTGATATGACAATTTATAGTAATTTTTTTGACTTCTTAACTAAAGTACTTATATGGTTTTATTTGTATATTAAACATCATCTAAGCTCTCTGGCTGACAATAGTTGATGAGGTGGTATTATTGATTTTTTTTTTTTTGGTAGATATAGATCGATGCGACTCATTTCTCCGTTAAACTCTCGATTAATTAGTTTAAGGCAAAAAGGGCCTCCACGCCTATTAACCATATTTTAAACAAAATGTAATTCCAAATAAATAATAGAGTACTTTTGACAAGCAAATGCTTCACGTCCATACACAATTCCTGATGTACATTCTAGAATTCTATCTTCTGTAGATAATCTAGTCATGTCCAGTCAGGCTTGTTGAACCTTGGGTTTGCTTACCCAAATTATTCCTTGTATGAAAAACACAAATCGAATTACTTCATAGCCACAACTTTTGCATCAATGCATAGGAATTAATTATTGGTTATACCTCCTAACCACAGTGACATACACAGATACTTGAGGATAAAATACTTATAATAAATACATATTTGAGCGAGTGAGAAATTATTATTATTATTCATTCCACTCATTTTACAAATTACAAATACAAAAAACATTTTAAAATATATCACACAATCAAGTCCTATTGAACTGACCTTATTATTATTCATTCCACTCATTTTACAAATTACAAATATAAAAAATATTTTAAAATATATCACATCATCAATTGGTACACTAGTTAGTACACTAATTGATACATATAGCATTATTCATTAACAATCTGGAGCCAATTTAAGCTTTGTGAGGGAAAAGGCGAATCGGAAGGCCTTTTTCAGGATTAGGCATGGGATCGAAAACAATCTTCTTGTTGGGAATTACTTTCTCCCACTTGAACCTCTTTACCAGATTATGCATGAACACTAGTATTTCCAATCTAGCATACTCTTTTCCTGGGCACATTCTTGGTCCTCCTCCAAAAGGCACATATGTGTAAGGTACGGGTCCAGATCCCTCAAACCTTGATGGGTCAAACTTGTGTGGCTCGATGAAGAATTCTGAATTTTTATGTGTCGAGTTCGCACTCCAATATAACTGATGATTTCAAAATGAAAGAAGAAAAATAAAATGAAAATGACAAGGTGAAGTTATTAAGTAGCTTACAATTTCAAACAAGTACATAATACAAATAATCAGTCCAGATCTAGACTAGAGGCAAACAAATAAAATAAAGATGGAATAATTATCGGATCGACTTGATTTTTTTATGTGATGTATACGAAGAAAAGTCTTAAAAAATGAACAGTTTGAATCTAAATGAGTCCCGTAGTGGGTCCCATTGGCCCAAACAACACCTCTCTGATCCAGATCTGGACTGGAGAAATTCAAATCTCATAATTATATATGAAATTTTGATTATTACCTTACAGCCTTTGGGAATTGAGAAACCATTGTACATGAAATCTGTCATTGCTTCTCTAAAAGTTCCTTGGAGGGGTGGTGCAAGTCTCATCACTTCACACGCTACATTCCATGAATACTTCATCTTCTTAATATCATCCCAGTTCAACAATTCCCCTGGAGCTTTTGATTTTGCAATTTCCATTTGCTCTGTTCACAACAATGCAAAATCATGCAATCATTTGCAATTAATTTAGTTACTTGATCTGCTTGTGGATCATTCGAATCTTTGGCTTCTTAGGGAAAATTAACAAAACATTAAAAGAAACATTATATTAAATAATTGATAATTTTTTCTAAGGTGGTTCAATTGGGCAGATACTAATCAATTCGAAACATTTCTTCCAGCTATTATAATTTGGGGTTGGTTTGACAAGTTTTCTTTTAATAACATTTTGTTTTCTATTTGGGTAAAGTATACTTGCCTCCTTTGAGATTTGAAAAAAATACGGTCACCCCCATACCTTTAGTTATACCGATTTCTCTTTTAGTAAAACTAAATTGATTGAAACTAATACAGAAAGTGAAATAAATAAAGATAAATATATATTTCCATAAAAAAAATGATGACAATGTCCATTTTTTCATTTATACAACTAAGGAATTACTAATAAAAAATTGTCTAACTGTAATGTCAATTAAATTATCAAGAGATATAAATGTAATTTTGTCAATAATATGGGCTTAACTATATTTTTCAAAAATTTCAAGGGATGTCAATGTAATTTACCCTTTCTATTTTAATTTTTTTTTACCTTTGTTAAGATAAAGTTGTTAATGCTTAAAAGTTATTTTTCGGTTTGGACCTCACTTACCTCCAATCTTGTGCCTACTGTGAGCCCATTATGGTCATCCTAAGTGCTACTCAAGTAGATTATTCACGTAAAAATTAAGCTGTTGGAGATTAATAGATATATAATTAAATTATATTTGTCTTTAAATAATAGAGATTTTTTTTTTAGATCCACTACTACAAAAATAGTTAAAGATCACACTTTGAGAAAAAAAAATATCTCACTTTTATTGGAAGTGTGATTAAAAAAATTAGATTGATATTTTTATCACACTTAATTTGATTAAGTGTGATAATATTTATTTTTTATGTCACTTTTCAATTAAGTGTGATTGTATATATATATTTTTAATTACACCTTCTAATTAAAGTGTGATTATATATACACTACTACTTTTTAATCACACTTTTTAAATAAGTGTGATTATAAATATATTTTTTAATCACACATTCTAATTAAAGTGTGATTGTTTATATATTTTTTAATCACACTTTGTAATTAAAGTGTGATTATATATACACTACTACTTTTTAATCACACTTTTTAAATAAATGTGATTATAAATATATTTTTAATCGCACATTGTAATTAAAGTGTGATTATATATATATTTTTTAATCACACTTTAATTAGAAAGTGTGATTATATATACACTATTACTTTTTAATCACACTTTTTAAATAAGTGTGATTATAAATATATTTTTTAATCACACATTCTAATTAAAGTGTGATTGTTTATATATTTTTTAATCACACTTTGTAATTAAAGTGTGATTATATATACACTACTACTTTTTAATTACCCTTTTTAAATAAGTGTGATTATAAATATATTTTTTAATCACACATTGTAATTAAAGTGTGATTATATACATATTTTTTAATCACACTTTAATTAGAAAGTGTGATTATATATACACTACTACTTTTTAATAACACTTTTTAAATAAGTGTGATTATAAATATATTTTTTAATCACACATTATAATTAAAGTGTGATAATATATATATTTTTTAATCACACTTTAATTAGAAAGTGTGATTATATATACACTACTACTTTTTAATTAACAATTAGATGCCAAAAAATTGTGATTTTTTTTATAAAAAAAAAAAAAAGAACTCCGAATGTGGAAAGGAGAACCATAGAAATAGACATTAAATTAAAAGATATGACACATCATGTGATTTTCCAAAGAAAGTATTCCATGTAAATCCATTTATTATTATTCGACATTAATGTAAAAATCCATTTATTATTATATGACATTAAATCCATTTTGATCATGTGACATTAAATCCATTTATTATTAGATGAGAGATGTCGTTAATGTAAAAATGTAGAGCAATATTATTAACATTTATATGCCAAATAATAATAAATGGATTTACATGGAATACTTTCTTTGGAAAATCACATGATCTGTCATATCTTTTAATTTCATGTATGTAGGAGCCGAATAACGGCAAAATCAGAAGGTGTGTACCTTAGAAGACTGATATTAATCGGCTGTATCCTACGAGAATGAGAAGCCGAATACAATACATGTGCCGAATAAGTGTAGATCCTTAGAGCCGAATAAGAGAAAAGACAATGATTAAAAAGTAGGCCCTTGCCCCGAGGATCAAAAGGAACAGGTATAAATACAGGAACAATGGATTGAGAAAGGTATGTAAGAATCACTTCACTTAACTTAGTAAAGAAGCTATCCTGAGTGTCTGAACTGACTTGTCCGTCGGAGTGCTAATTCCAGCACTCCTGACCGGAGTGTTTGTATCTTTTCAGGTGACTAGCTGAGGATCACTAGCGTCTTCTAGGATCTGAAGAGTATTTCCAAACTACTTCCCCATAATTGGCGCCATCTGTGGGAAGTGGTTTGGAAATACTCTTCAGATCCTGGAGAAAGTCCCCTCCAAAAATAGGCGTATGCTGCTATAAAGTGATGCGCACACGGTATTCTTTAGTAAAAGGCGAAAGAATAGTTCGCTTTGTGCTAAATAGTAACCAATTTATACATGAAAACTACCCTGAACCAACAAAAGTCTAAGTCTACCGAACAAAAACTTACATTGGAATTAAAAATACTTAATAAAATTGAAAAGTCTCGTAGATCAATCCTCGGGGTCAGATTCAAGTGGCTCAACGTCCACTTGCTCGTAGGGAATTGGCAAGGCACATGTAACTCTAGCGGCAGCAAGGGCTCTGACACTACTACAAAAATAGTTAAATATCACACTTTGACAAAAAAAAAAGATCTCACTTTTATTGGAAGTGTGATAAAAAAAATTAGATTGATATTTTAATCACACTTAATTTGATTGAGTGTGATAATATTTATTTTTTATGTCACTTTTCAATTAAGTGTGATTATATATATATTTTTTAATCACACCTTCCAATTAAAGTGTGATTATATATACACTACTACTTTTTAATCATACTTTTTAAACAAGTGTGGTTATATATATATTTTTTAATCACATATTCTAATTAAAGTGTGATTGTTTATATATTTTTTAATCACTTCTTTTGTGTATTTATTATATTTGTTTTTGTACAAAGCCAAGGGTTTTAACTGTATTAGACTTAAATCCACTTTTGTTGTAACCAATCCTCGTCTTGGAAAGATGTAGGCCTTTAGGGCATTTATTATCTATTTAACTTTCATTCTCTCTCTTTAGTTTGCAACATATGCTATATATTCAGGGTCAAGCATTGTGAACACTGCTACTTTTTAATCACACTTTTTAAATAAGTGTGATTATACATATATTTTTTAATCACACATTCTAATTAAAGTGTGATTATTTATATATATTTTAATCACACTTTCTAATTAAAGTGTGATTATATCACTACTATAAAAACAGTTAAAAATCACACTTTGACAAATAAAAATATCTCACTTTTATTGAAAGTGTGATAAAAAAAAATTAGATTGATATTTTAATCACACTTAATTTGATTGAGTATGATAATATTTATTTTTTATGTCACTTTTAAATTAAGTGTGATTATATGTATACTTTTTATTCACACTTTTCATTAATGTGATTGTATATATTTTTGAATATATTGTTTTTATATAATAATATATCCCAAACTGGTGCCTTTTTCTCTTCCATTACTGTCAGCAGGCAAAACAAGATTGAATTTGTAAGGACAAATCGTTTTGAGACTTTTTCCAAATAAAACCCTAGCACCTCATTGTATGCTCAATGTCAACATCTCTTCAGCCTTTTCCAATCTCCCTCACAGTGGACTCGCCATCCCTTCTCCCTTACAAAGGTATGGCCTCCCTCCCTCTCTCTCTCTCTCTCTCTCTCTCTCTCTCTGTGCGTTGTTTAATGGTAGGGTAAGGGTTTTCGGTAACGTGGTGGCGCTGTAGTGGGGATGGAATGGTGTAACGGGAGGTGCGGTGTGAGAGGAGGGCTAGTGGTGCTATAGTAGGGAGGGAAAGGGTGGGCATTTCAGATTTGTTGATTAATTTTTAAAAATTAATTTCACATGATCATTATCCAAACAAATAAAAAAAAAATTAATTTGGTAAAAAAAATAAATGTTTAAAAGATTTATCAATTTTACATAATTTTATTTTTAGTTGGTAGAAATAATTTTTAAAATTCAAAAATATTTGTTTGACATTTATTTTTCTCAAATTAGTTTATATTTTATCAAATTGATGATTTTACCCTTGAAAATTTTAATGATATTTTCAATTGTCCTTATTTGTAACAAAATTCAAAATTTATGATCAAATGTGTCACAATTGAAAAGTTAGAAACCAAACTATAGGGACTATTAGTGTCTCTGTCTGTGTATTTTGCAGAGTTTTCTTCTCTGTCTGTGTATTTTGCAGAGTTTTCTTCTCTGTCTGTGTATTTTGCAGAGTTTTCTTCTCTGTCTCTGTCTGTGTGTTTATCCTCTTCACGAAGAGGTTTTCCATGCTTTTGATTGCACGAGGCGGGGTCACTGTTGTGTGACTCCCGCTGCTGTTCCTGCTGTGGCACATATAGTGCTCTCTTATCTTTATTTATTTTATTTTTTTTCAAATCCTTCTCTCATGGTGTTGTTTGCTGGAGCAAGATTGCAATAATATAATATATTTATTTATTAATCTATTAAAATAAACACAAAAGAATGTTTATATATATGGGTACACATATTAAAACTTATTAATTTAACTAAAATTATTATTATACAAATTTGTTTTGCTAAATGCAAAATCAATGAGATTTTTTTTAAAGAAAAAGAGAAAAAAAAAAAAAAAAAAAAAAGAAGAAGAAGAAGTTTCCCAACATCAGAATCACTTCTCCTGTTGAAACAGAGCCCTTCAGTTTCTTCATCTCAGCTCCGAACAACGGTTGCCTTTCTCAACAAAATTGAATCTCTTCTCCTTGCTGAAACGAAGCCGTTCATTTTTTCATCATAGCTCCGAACCACCATTGAAGTTACTCACTCAA